AGCACAATTTTCAGAACTAATACAAAACAATAATAGTTTGTACAAACTATAGGTGACTGGTTCTCTAAAATTTTAGTCGGGTTAACTACTAAACGTTAAAATCTTGCTAATCGGGCATGAATGGACCCAACAATAATGAGACGATATCGAGTTTAATGTGATATTCATTTCGTCAGTTTTGGATCGGACGTGTTGATCAATTTATAGGGCATGAACATATAAATGAGTTATAATTAACTTCATTATACAATTTTTACTCTTTATAATTATTAATTTAATCTTAATATTTGCAATGTTTGAAATATTTTGTGTATGATTAGGAGGTATAATTATTATTTGTGACATCAGTTGTAATTTATTAAAATGTAGTATTTCATCAGGTAGTCAAAATCGAATACAGGGTGCATTTGTGACTGTTTTTATCTTGGTGTTGTGAATAGGTAGAAACTTAATTATTATAATGCATATAACTATACCTAGGCACATGATCGAGCTACCACGACACAGTTAGAGCATACCATGAAGACAATGTATATGGATCGGCCATGTACAAGCATTAATGCTTCATGGGTCGTACCAGACTTAAACTTCAAGTGCTCTCGCACAAGTGCGAGCACCACACAATCTATATTGGTAAACACACGTTTTATGAAGAAATGCGTCATTTGATAAAAATAAAACAAAATACTCTAAAAATAACATATAAAATTTGAATTAATTAGTAGTTTCTCACATCAACGTGTGGCCACTCATATTCTAAAAGGTTTATAAAATACATTCATTGTTTATTTTGAAACTCAATGTATACAGCTAAAAATTCATTTATAAAATCATTCTTGATTAACTTTATAACTGAAAAGTCGGTTTTACAGCTTGCAGTAATAACAAACAACGTCAACAATAACTTAAGAAGCAAATAAAGTGAAAAAGAATTTGGGATTTAGTATTTCTTTGCAAATGTGCGTAGAGGGGAGGGGGTTTTTTTGTCTATAAAAATTTGAACAAGGGTTGAAACTCAAATATAATTTTTTTTAGGGTTAATATATTTGTATGCCCTGAATTTTGACCAAAATAAACATTCTAACCAATCTTTTTGTTCTATAACATCCTGGCCCAAACTATACATCAAAATAACCAAATTGGCCAAACTCGATGTTTGACCGTTAACTTGAACGGTCAAACGCGTTGACTAACGGTCAACGCGCCACATCACTGCTAACTCAACATTTTTCAATATAAAAAAGTTATAATTGCCACCTATTATCATTTTCCTTTTTAATTTCGAAAAAAATACATTTACTTTAGTTTTCGGGACCAGTTGCAATAATGCTCTCCCACCTCACTCCCCCTCCTGACTCCTTCCTCTCCGCCGAGCCTTCTCTCCCTTCCGCTAGAGCCGCCGTCGCCGCATCCTGGGAATGTTCCCACATCCATCTTTTCCCCCCCAAAATTATACTCTCCATAATCAAATTCATCCATTCTTCCTCCCTACCTTCTTTCATCCATTCACATCACCAACCCAATTCTTCTGTCCACCCTACTGTTAGAGAGTGGTATAAGATCCAGCAAAACCTTCTCCCAACAACTCGAGTTATTGGGAGCAACTGGTTCTTGACATGGTATCAGAGCCTAGAACCGAAAGGTCATGTGTTCGAATCTCCACGACCCCCAATATTAACAGTTGTCTTTCAAGCACATGGTATGGTGGGCCTATGCAAACTTCAAGCCCGTGGGTTGGCTTTCGTTTGAGGGGGCGTGTTAGAGAGTGGTATAAGACCCAGCAAAACCTTCTCCCAACAACTCGAGTTATTGGGAGCAACTGGTTCTTGACACCTACAACCCAAAAAAATCCTCAAATTAGCAAATTTCCAATCGCAACCGCAGATCCAATAAAGATATAGCAAGCTGAAGAGCATAAGCGAGCTCTACCTCTCTCGCTGTGTTGTCGTCGCTCACTGCTTGACCATGACTCCGACAAAAGCACTGAGGCGAAGAGCTTGAAGGTTTTGGGAAACTGTTGTCTCTTATTCTTCTGGAGGCAGTCCCCTTCACTCCCCGCTGTCGTCTCCTCTCCAATCCCCTTCCACTCCCCGCTGCCGAACAGTCCTGCGACCACCATCCAACGGTGAACTGAAGCCCATCGCTTCCAAGCCAATGACTCTGACACGGATTTCGACTTCGATCCGCCTCCAAAAAGCTCTAGGGTTCTGCACAAAGTGAAGCCCCTCGCTTCCAAGCCCCAGCCTAAAGCGCAGGCGAATGCGGCTCTTCCCACCTCTTCCTCAAAATCTACAATGGCGACAAAGAAGTGATGAATCCGACCTTGTGCAAGCTCCAATCCGTATGATCCTAGCATACGGTTGTTGATTCCACTCAGAGAATCTGCTTCAATCGCCATGCTTCTCTTCAATTCAGCGAAACCCTAGATGCAACTCTTGTTAGAGGAGTCAGGGGAGAAGATGAAGTTAGAAGATTAAGAGGAGCCGACCGGCAACGGGGAGTGAAAGGGGAACGGAGGAGGAGATGAAAGGGTTTATTTTTTATTTTTGATTTTTTTGTTCAAAATGAAAAAAATGATAATAGGTGGAAATTTTCAAAAAATTTAAGTGAAAATTGTTGACTTGCCAGTGACATGGCATGTTGACTAACAGTCAACGCGTTTGACCGTCCAATTTAACGGTCAAACAACGGGTTTGGCCAATTTCGTTACTTTGATGTATAGTTTGGGCCAGGATGTTATAGATTGAAAAGATTGGCCAGGATGTTTATTTTAGTCAAAGTTCAGGCCATACAAATATATTAACCTTTTTTTTTAATATTGAATATTGAATATTGAATTGGAGTATTGAACATTTTGGAAGCGATATATAATTCTTAAATTAACATTAATTTTCAGCCCGGTTGACCAATAACCTTAGACCTTTTGCTAATCCGACATGGATCCAATAATCATAAGATGATATTTAGTTTAATATGACTTCAGTTCAAAACCATTTTTTATGTGTAATGAATTTGTACGGAAAATACATGTAAAGTGAAGATAAACCTTATTATGTATTTTGATTCTTTAGATAAATACAATGGTTTAAGGCTTTAAGCGATGAACTAACTATACACTCACTCGATTGGTTCAACGAGATCTGCTTTTTATCACTTTCAATAATTAGTTTATTCACAAGCTATCAAGCTACTTTGCTCCATAGATGAATAAGCGACCATCTATTCGCCAGGTTTCGGGTGCTTTGATTCACACAATCGATTGCAAATCGAGAAGAAGCATTTCGAACGCAAAATTGGAGAAGTAATTGGGATGTTTTTAGGTTTCTCTCGATTCCAAGCGGTGAGAAGAAAAAGGAAGGAAGGGATAAGAGGGTGAGTTGTGAGATACAAAGCTGAGAGAGAGAGAGAGAGAGAGAGAGAGAGAGAGAGAGGACATTTAAAAGATGAGGAAAATTAGGTAGTGTGAAATAATTGCCCTTCTGCTTTGATTAGTGGATATTTTTGGTCATATTCTGTTGAGTTTTGATTTATTTTAGAAAATGAAATTATATTTGACATATTTTTTCCATTTCAATTTAAAATACTAAATCAATATTATCATTTGGAAGATTTTCCTTAATACGATTATTGTAATTTCTGAGATTTAAGGGGTATTTGTTAATGTCAATACTTTAGTGATTTTTTATTTAAAGTTTGTATTGAAAGATCGTACGTACCGACAGTTAGACCATAAAACTTCACATCATAGGCTAAATCGATAGGTGATATTAGCAATATGACACGGTTGAACCACAGTTAAATTATGACTACAGTATAAAATACTCTACTACCAACTTTTTCGATACGATTTTACAATCCTTTGGCTCAAACAATTCTTTTACACTGGTGAAACAAAAGTTTTAAGGCACATTTTGAAGTATCTATTGCAAAAAAGCATAAGTCAGTTAGCGATAATGAGAGACACTTCGCAACTTCTATCTTTTTAAAATAAATATATGCTACTCATACTCTCGCTCATTCATCAACTTAATGAGTAACATATATTTCAAATAATATTATTTTCATACGTGTTATTGAATAATCTCATGAAAAAAATATTTGCTGCATAAAAATTACTACATTATTGCTAGACATGTTTCCGATCTGAGAATAATTTGGGAAGTTCGTACGCATACATTGTACAACTAACTATTAGCGACATGTTAGCATCATGTCCTATATATTTCAAATCAAGCAACTTCAGATTCATTACCACCAGTGTGGTAAAAAAAATGTTCTCTATTGGGAAAAACTTAAAGGACATAATAAACTCTATGATACATTTTCGTTCATGCTAAAGGTTGATTATGTATGTATTATGAGAAGCAACTCTAACATTCATTCAATAATTATATGTAATGCTTATATTATATTTTTTTCTCTTTTCATGGAGGTCTAAAGGTTGATTATGTATGTATTATGAGATGGGTCACTTTCAAAAATGTTATGTGCATAACTAAGATAGAAAACAATCATTTCATGCATTTAAAATCATCTATTATATTCATTATTATATATCATATTCCTCGACAAAATTAGGGCTGGCTATTTGGTCCGGGCTATTTGGTTTTACCCGAAACCAGACTGTATAACCCAGACCGGGGCCGACCTGGAACTGGATAGCAAACAATTCAATCCCATCTTCAGACTTAGATTTGAGGTAAAAAAACCGTTTGGGACTAGATGGAAAACCTAATAAGAGAGCCCAACACCCCAAAACTTAACCAACTCCGCACCCTTTGAGGCTTCAGGCCACTCAAATTCCCACAACCTCAATCTAAAATCAAGATCGAATTGGAACCGGACCGGATCAAGACCGGACTGTATCCAATCCAATCTTTGGTCCTTATATTCTAGAAAAGATCGAACTGAGACCAGATCAATTTGGGCTAATTTAACCGAACTGTATAACCACCCTAGACAAAATTCTTCTGGCCAATAGGCCGGGTCCTGTGCTAGTTTTAAATTTTAATATAATACAAAAATACTCTATCGTGAACTTCTCCGATATAACCTCCCGTGCAATTTCACAATTCTTAAATACAAAATACTCTACCGCGAATTTTTCCAATATAGCCTTGGGTGCGATTTCACAAAAATTAGAGCATGTACCAAGCTATGTACACTGCAAAATACGCTCAGAATCCCCACAAGCCACAAGGAAACGACCTCCATCACTATCATATCAAAAAAGCTACCACTGCTAGCTTCTTTTTCCAATTTAACAGGGGGGGAAAACACACACAGCTACTCAAAGCTGCACACTCCATTTTCTATACCCCAAAGGGTCAGTTCGTTTACAACAAGCTAGCTGATTGGTTAAACTCACAACCTGTATTTTCCCACTGAAAAACACGTATACGTCTTCTCCTCATACAACATACACCATCCCCACTTCCAAAAGCGAGACCGGCGGCACTTTCAGCGCCACATCCGGTCCCCGGCAGTTCCTCCTCAGGAAATTGTACCCGAAATCGATTGCCAACTTCTTCCAAATCGACGACCCTTGTTTCGCCCGGACATGAGAGTGTCCCAGTATGAATGCAGTGCCTGCCTCCTGTGCAGACAGCAGATCCCTCAACTCCTCGTCCACCTCAACGTCATTGCCACCCATTTCTGTCTGATGAGTTTCAGACTCATCATCATCATCAACAGCAAACCTCACCCTCCTCGCTCCTCTCTCCACTGCTTCCATCTCTATCACATCACTCAAACTGTCTACCGTTCTGCCACCTACAGAGACACTCACAGCCTGCACCGTGTCATCCACCTCGTAAGCTGGGTTTCCAGCAAACGACATGGTCCCTATCACAGTCAATCTGCACTCCCCCGAGGACGCCACAGACCGAGCTGCGTCGTCATCTGTAATAGTCGTCGTTGGGGAGGAACACTGCACATTTGCTCTATGCCAGTCGTATCTAACAAAGTCAACCAGCTTGGCAACAAGCTCCGTCTCGAACGAATCGACATCCTGGTGAACGTCACGGTACCCATAACGGACAATGCACCTGTAAGAACGATGCTCGGGTGGACCCACACGCCCTACTAGGTACCTCTCTGCCGGAGGAACGTGAGGGACAGTCACCGATTTTACACAAACGAAGACAAGGATGCGGTGGTAGGCGGGGAGGTTTGTTACGAAGCGAGAGAAGTTAGCCGGTATGCCTGAGGTGAGATCACTGAAGACTAATCCAATTCCAGGCACTCGAGCAACTCCCAAGCTCGGACCTAGAGCTAAAAGCCAATCCAAAGATACCTTATTGTGAAGGTCATACTCGTACTTTTTGATGGTGGCATAATGCCAGATCAGCATGATGCTGACTAGGATGAGGGCCAGTAGGATGGGGAGCCAGGCACCTTCTCTGAACTTTGTCAGTGAAGCTGAGAAGTACAGTAACTCGATGGAGCCGAATACTAGCAGGAAGGCGACTGCTAGAATTGGTGGCTTGTGCCAGCACAGCACGATAACCAAGGCAGTTAGACAAGTGGTCACCAGCATCACTGTCATCACCGCTAATCCTGCAAAAACACAAATATAATCATCAAGAGAAATATAAAAAGCTTCCAAGATATAGAATTACTCGGTAAATGATTCAATTTTGCAACCCACCAGATGCATTTCCAATGTGTTTGGTGTCTCTAAAGCCGATGGTTACCGCAATGCAGAGGATCATCAGCATCCAATTGATCTCAGGGATATAAATCTGGCCATGGATCTTATCAGAAGTGTGCACCACCTTCACTCTGGGAAAACAGCTTAGTGACTGGCTCTGGTTTATGATAGAGAACGTCCCACTGATGATAGCTTGGCTTCCCACAACAGAAGCAAGAATGGCGAGTATGAGCACTGGTAGTCTGAGTTTTTCTGCACCCAAAACAACAATTTGTCAGTTTTTGTCTTCAAGGAATACAGGAACACAGTTTCCTAATTCTCCAAGGATAGATCAAATGAATCCACAACTCAGTTCGCTCAGTAGTACCATACTAGTTTTGCAATTAATGTGGCCAAGGCTTACCAGGAACAAAAATATAAAAGCTAATGTCTGTCCCATGATGTTGTGATAAATACGCAGCTTGACCCATGTATGCCACTATAAGTGCTGGATAAACCAGAAAAGTGAAGGCAATCTGAAGCAGGCACCAAATAATAATATGTAGCAGTTAGTTTGTGTCCTTAATGGATGAGCAAGCACCAAGCTGTTGAAACTTCAGAATCACCTGAATTGCAGTGTATGAGAAGTGCCCAAGATCAGCAAACATTGCCTCCGATCCTGTATCCCAGTGACCAAATGGATTAACTCTCTTTATTTGATTTTTTGTTTGTTTGTTTGCAAATTGAATCAATCAAAAGATCATTTAGAATAGGATTATACGAAATATAAGGAGCGGTAACATGGAAAAACAGCCATGGGCATTAAGAAGTTTAGCAAATTCAGTTTATAACTAGTTACCTGTTATGCACAATAATATCCCACCAAGAGACATCCACCCCGATTTCTTTGTTTTCTTCAAGAACTTGTACATGTAATATGGGGAAAGAGCTTGATAGACATGGACGTTCCAGTACAGAATGTTATAGATGCCAAGTGCTGTGATGCAGATTAGCCACAATACGATGATTGGTGCAAATAAGAAACCCACACGATGAGTGCCATAATGTTGGAGTGAGAAAAGGCACACCAATGTGAAGCAAGTAATTGGAATAACTGCATCTGCAAATTCAGATTACAGCATAACTGTGATGAGTGAAGGCAAACCAAGATGAAGCAAAAAAAATTTCAATAAGAATCACATTTAACTAGCATGAAAACATCGATTTGGGCCACCAGCATTTTGCTGGTTTGCTCAATATTACCTACCTCCCGTGATAAATGTTCCTGTCACAACATATCTACTTTAACCGATCTTCTTCAGGTCAGAATACACATTAGAATACAAAGATGGTTAAAGTTTTGAATATCTAGAAGTTTAGAAGCTTACACTGATGCTTCTCCATGGATAGTTCAAGTCCGGACACAGCAGTGAAAACTGGCATTCAAATAGAGAGGGGAAATTAAGAGTGAGTTGTTGTTTCCCAGCTATGCTAAGTGACGTTGTCAATAATCAAACTCCGTCAGAGTTCAGATTAGAAAAATCGACCTGAAATAGCTGGAGTGAGAAGTCCATCCCCAATAACCATACAAGTGCCCAGAAGAACCAATACCAACAGTGCAGTGTGCAAGCCCTTGTGTTTCTCAAGGTATGTCTTTGAGGAAAAGCTTTGCCTCTCGGGAGGATGTTCTGTGATATATGTGGATAGTGATTCATCTGAAACCTGCCTATTGGGCAGAAGGCTAACTTTGGCATGCCGACAGATCAACGAATACAATGCAAAAGTACCACCTACAAGAATTTAAAGATGAAACATTTCCTCAATCGGCTTATCGAAGTGCGGTGGTACTGAAATGTTCTTTTGCCGGCACTACTTACCCTCCCCATTATCATCAGCTCTGAGGACAATGAACACATATTTGAACAACGGGACCAAAGTGAGTGTCCAGAACACGAATGACAGAACCCCATAAATCTCATCATTGCTTTCTGAATGCTTGATGTCCTCTGCAAATGTACTCTTGTACACATATAGTGGAGATATGCTAAGGTCCCCGTAGACTACGCCAAGACTCTGATAAGCCAACAACAACAGTGTCTTCCAAGAATCCTTCTGGTAAACGAAAAAGGAGAAGCTTTTCAGGCACCAGCTTAAAGATTAGACTAAGATATGGAAATGAATAAGATAGATAATCATAGGAAACCGACCTAAGCAGTCTGAAATTGGTAAGAGGCTTAGATGAGAAAGTACAAACAAACCAACCTTTGGAGACGGTGACATCTTGGAGAAGCCGAAATCCATGGCTCCTACTCTGAGACGATCCAGCTGAGACATGAGCTGGGTTTTGAAGAATTAAACTTACTCAGCAGTAGCAGCAGCAGATCTGGCATATGCAGCAGAATCAGTTAACAGAAGAAGGCAAATGACCATGAAATTGCCATTGCACTTTACAAACCGGCACACAGAGAAAGTAGAAGCTAAGAGCGGTGAAAAGAAAGTAGGTCACTTTCCTATATCCCCACATGCCATCCACACACCTCCACAACAATCCACACCAAACTCTCAAATAAACCAAGCACTTCCGGCATTCTTTCCCTCTCAACTGCAGTAAGAGACTTAAAAAGGAAGGGGAACCTCAATTCCTAATTTCTGGTAAAGCTTGAATCTTTTAAGGCATTAAGGAGGACCCAGGAAGAGGAATTCTCTAGATAAGGCTCAGCATTAAATTTTTTTTACCCGTATAAGGTTCTCCTGTTCCTGTATTACCCCTTTTCTGGTTTTATCGTTGGTTCCCCACCCACAAGAACCAGCTTGTTGCGGACAAGTGACAGCTGACAGAGGAATTGGATAGACGAAAAGTTGATGCCTTACTACTCCCTTGGATTACTGGATGAAGCAAATCAGACCAAACCCAGCAAAAAAACAAAAAGAGAGAGAGACAAACACTACCATACACACCCAGCTCACGGAAACAACAAGGGGAATTGAGAAGTCAAAAACTAAGAAACAGTAAATACCTATAACCCCAGTTGTAACGTATGTCTTCCCAACATCACCCCATTGGAAAGAATCAAAACAGACGCTGAACACAGGGAGAGGACAGAGGAGGGGAAACGAGGAACCCGAAGAGAATTTGTACAGTCGCAGGACAAATACAGTGTGGAAGCTAGAGACAGGAACAAGGCACAATCACGTGAACTGGAAGCAAGGAGGGCCAGTTACATTAGCAGAAGTGTTGAAGAAATCCCCACCTCACAAGAAATGATGCCCCACACAACACTAACACATTGCCGTTTTAAATCACCAACACATGCCCTGCATCCTTCCTAATTATATACCTTCCATTTCTCCCTTCCCTTACAGATTTGTCCACACGCACACATAGAGCAAACCCTGCTTTGCTTGCCAAGCCGCCCCGCTTTCTCCTTTAATAACTCAGCTACCGCTTCCTACTTTACGTACGTCTCTTTCACTCTTTCTCGCTTTCCTTCTACATGTCTACATCACACTCCTCGAAATTGTGAAAATTAGTATACAGTACCCATCCATTATCTGCTGATGCAACTAGTTTCCGCAAATTTCAATCTTTTGCAGGCCTCAACTAACAAAATTCACACAATCTTTTGCTTGACCAGCTTAGCTTAGCAATTGTTGAATATTAAAAGGGGGAAGAGAGAGAGAGAGAGACAGGTGAACCAATACCATTAGAAGAAATGGACTCTGATTTGACTGGTGGGAAATTGTTGGGAAGAAGAAACAAGCCCAAGAAGAATCTGAGACCTCCAACGATTCAAGCTTCAAAGTGACGGAAATCCAATTTGCTTGCTTACGCGCCAATCTTACACTATCTGAATGAGTGAGAGCGATTTCTTTCCTTTCTTCCGCTCCACAAACCGAAATTGCTTGTTCCTCTGTTGGGTTCGTTCAGCCGAAAGGCTCTTCTGGGTTGGCACCATTCAACTGCTGTTGAAGAAGGGATTTTTTTTTTCTATCCCCCAAAGAATCCACACCTAAGCTAGGCTAGCTTCCCATTTCTTGCAGTAGTTTCTCTCGTTCTGGCGGAGCTTAAACCCTTGTCATCAGTATGACAACCTGATTTGGGAGCTGGGATTTCGCAGAAGAGATTTCCAAAGAGCAATCCTTCCTTCCTTTCAGCGTCCCTTAGTGAAAAAGCTTGCCAAAGTTCGTGCACCCAACCCCACAATGGCGTCTGCTCGTGGAGATGTCTCTCTTTTTGGCTATGCACTGTCAGTCATTAACTCCCTCCCTATTTACAAATAAATATATACTAATAAAAGATAATAAAAAATTGTGCAATAGTGAATTCCCATTTATTTGAGAAATAACAATAGAAAATGAATGCAGGGCAACAAGAACAATGGTGGCCGGCTGGGAAATAATATTTGTTTATTTAAGACAGAAATCAGAATATATATTTGGGTTTTGGGAACCGGGGGAAGAGATTATTAGCACTGCTACATGTGAGCATCAACTTTGGATTTGGGATTTTGATTCGTTTGATTTGGTTGCATTCCATTCCCTTCTATCTTCTTCAAATTTCCCCCACTTTCTGATTGTGTCATAAAATCCTAAAGAATCAGCAAGTTGGTAGTATTGAAAATACACCATCCGAGGTTCTATGAGAAAACACACCGTTGAGTGGAATGAATGTCACAAAGCAATGTATGCGATTCCGTAATATTTATACAAAATAAGACTATACTTTCTTATACTTCCGGATAAGGATACTAACTTTTCAATTTTATAATCTTGGAAGATTTGATCCTTATTCTACAATGAAGTTTACAAGATTCTCCAAAATGAAAATTTTATGAGGTCAACACCATGTAGAGGTGGCAAAAGGATGGGATTAATGGATTGATTAATTGGATTGGTGGATCAATTTATAGATCCAAATGGCATCCAAGTTTTGAATTATTATGTAAATTTTGAAAAAGTTTCGATGCTAAAATGTCATAATGAAAATTTTTAGGTACAAAAATGTAATTTTCCAACTAGATTTTTGGCAAAAAAAAAAATAAATTTTAGGTATCAAAATGTAAAAATAAAAAATATAGCTACTAAAACATAATATGCCGTTTGATCCATGGTTTCAATCCATAAATCCACTAATTCAATTGGATTTGGACAAAATGAGTTGGATTCTAATTTATTGGATTAGTTGGATATTTTAGTGGATGGATATGGATCCTAATTGCCACCTTTAACACCACACAAGAAAATTATTTTGCTGACATCAGGATATCAATACTTGTCCATAATCATATGATGATTTATGAACGTGGAACCTCATGTAACTTTCCCGTGTTAATTGATTTTGGTTTTAGGCATTTGTTTATTTCCACAAAGTTTGCGAGAACCTTAGGGATAACACCTACGAAGCTAGGTTAGAACCTATAAGTGAGAACCGTAGTAGGGGACACATTGATAGTGGACTCTATCATCTGGGGTTGCACTATCACTATGGTTGGTTATGAGTTTGAGACAAGTATGATTCTGGTACTGTTCAACGAGTTTGGCATCATATTGGGTATGAATTGTTTGTCCAAGAATCGAGTAAGGGTGGATTGTTACAAGAAGGAGGTTAGCCTTGAAATTGAGGGCAAAGGCACAACATTGTTCAAGGGTAACATGAAACTAATTCTGGGAGGTTTAATCTATGTGGTAAAGGCTTTCTTGTTGATTTAAGAAGACTGTGAAACCTACTTGGCTCACGTCAATGAGGTGCAAGAGAAGAAGATATAAGATGTGTCTGTCATAAGGGAATACCCCGAGGTATTTCCTGAAGATCTTTCTAGGCTACCGCCGCATCGGGAGGTAGAGTTTCTTATTTAAGTGATTCCTGACAGACACCAATTTCTATTGCTCCATACCGCATGGTGCTAGTTGAGTTGGAGTTGAAGGAGTAGTTGTAAGGGCTATTTGATAAGGGGTTGGTTCGCCCTAGCGTATAACCATGGGGAGCACCGATGTTGTTCGTGAAGAAGAAGGATGGCAGTATGAGACTGTGCATTGACTTTAAAAGACAGAACAAGGCAACAATCAAGAATCGATATCCTCTTCCAAGGATAGACGGTCTCTTTGATCCGTTCCAAGGAGCAAGGGTGTTCTCGAAGATCGATATGAGATCTGGTTACCATCAATTGAGGGTGGCAGATGGCTCCATACCTAAGATGGCATTCCGCACATGATATGGCCACTATAAGTTCTTGGTCATGCCGTTCGGTTTGACTAATGCACTGGCAGCTTTTATGGCTTTGATGAACCGGGTCTTATTTAGATAAGTTTGTCATCATCTTCATTGATGACATCCTCAACTACTCTAGGAGTGAAGAGGGTCACGAAGAGCACTTAAGGGTGATACTACAAAGACCAAAGGAGGAAGAGTTGTATGCCAACTTCTCCAAATGCGACTTCAGGAAGGAGGAGTCCTATTCTTGGAGCATATGATCACTAGTCGTGGAGTTGAAGTAGATCCCAAAAAGATTGAAACTGTGACAAACTGAGCTCTACTAAAGAACGTTCATAAAGTATTGAGTAATCTGGGTTTAGCTGGGTACTACTGGAGGTTTTTGGAAGGCTTCTCTAGTATTTTGAGGCCCATGAAACAATTATTCCAGAAGGGGAAGGATTTGTTTGGGACGAGCAATGTCAAACGATGTTTGAGTTGCTGAATGAGAAGTTGACCTCTGCACCGATGTTGTCATTACCGACAAGTGGTGGGGAGTATTCCATCTATAGCGATGCTTCCTATCGAGGGTTGGGTTGTGTACTGATGTAGGATAAGAAGGTGATCGCCTATGATTCGAGGCAGCTACGACCTCACGAGGTGAACTACCCCACCCATGACTTGGAGTTTGTAGCAGTAGTCTTTGCCTTGAAGCTATAGAGACACTATCTCTACGGCAAGAAGTTCACCATCTTCACTGATCACAAGAGTCTCTAGGACTTGATTGATAAGAAGGAGTTGAACATAAGGCAGATGAGGTGGATGGAGCTATTGAATGATTATGACTGTACTATTAAGTACCATCTAGGAAAGACAAATGTGGTAGCTGATGACTTAAGCAGGAAGAGGGTGAGTCCCTTAACGGACTTGGTCTCTTTGAGGGCCATGCACGTGGAGTTGGAGCTAGAGGAGGTGACTAAGTTGTTGACAACCTTGAAGGTTTGTCCTATGCTGCATGTTCGAATCAAGGAGAAGCATGGTGAATATATGGAGCTGGAGAAGTACATAAAGCAGATGCTGGAATGGAAGGACACCAAACTTGAGCTGGTAGATGGCGTACTGATTTATCAAGAAATATTGTGTGTGCCAGATGTCGACAAGCTAAGGAAGGATATTCTAGAAGAGCCTCACTCTGCACCTTATGCGATGCACCCTGGGGCTACGAAGATGTATTGTACTCTCAAGGAGCATTTCTGGTGGCTAGGGTTTAAGAAGGAGGTAGAAGCACATGTTTACCAGTGCTTGGAGTGTCAAATGATTAAGACTGGGCACCAAGACCCAGTCATTTAGTGCTTATCGCTAGAGATTCCATAGTGGACCTAAAAGAAGATCACCATGAATGTTGCGTATGGCTTGCCGAAGACCCCAAGGATGAAGATGGAGTTTGGATGATTATAGATAGGTTATCGCTCATTTTATACCCATCAAGTTCAAGCTAGGGATGGGGATCGTTTCCCGCTTAACATCGTGTCTGATCGCAATCCTAGCTTCACGGAACCATTCTGGGTGAGTCTTCAAAAGGGTATGGGCAGTAAGGTGCCCTTCTATAAAGAGTACCCTCCCCCCCCCCCCCCCTCCCCAAACTGATGGGCAGTTAGAATGGACCATTCAGACACTGGAAGACATGATGAGGGTGTGTTTCTTGATGATGGAATGAGGTTGGGACGAGCACTTGCCCTAATTGAGTTTTCTTATAACAACCAGTATCACAACTCAATACAAGCCACTCCATATGGAGTGTTGTATGGGAGGAAGTGTCACACACCACTGTACTGGGATGTAGAGGGAGTACGATAGCTTGAGGGTCCAGAGATGGTGTAGAAGGCAGTGGAGAAGGGGGAGGCAATTCGTCGAAACTTGAAGGCGGCTTAGGACCGACAGAAGAGTAATATTGAGAGGCAAGCAAGCCACACAGTCATGAAGTGGGTGATATGGTGTTTCTGAGGGTATCTCCTTGGAAGGGAGTGACAAGATTTGAAAAAAGGGAAAGCTTATTCTGGGTTATATCAGGCCATACGAGGTGTTGGAGTGTGTGGGACCCTTAGCCTTCCGATAGCTTTACCTTTTAGCCTACCTAGGATTCATGACAATTTCCACGTCGGCATGTTGAGGTTGTATCGGTCTAACCCAGACCATGTGATCAAGCATGAGGACATCCAGTTGGAGGATGATTTTATGTGTGAGGAGGTCACAGTCTAGATCGTGGATAGACAAGAAAAGGGGTTGAGGAGGAAGAAGATTGTCATGGTGAAGGTGATATAGAGGAACCAATGCAGCAAGGCTGCTACTTTGAAGAAAGATAATAGCATGAGAAAGAAATATCTAGAGTTGTTTAACGATGCTTAGTTTTGTAGTTGGTTAGTACCTTGTAATTTCGTGTTCAATTCTCAATACTCAGTATTCAATAATAATCCCATTAATTCAGTTATGTTCTGCTATGTGTAACAATGCAGTTCAACCCAAAATATCGAGGTCAAATTTTTCTTAATGGGGAGGGAAATGTTATATCCCAACTAACACAGTTCTTTCAAACACAAAGTATCGTCGTACAAGTGGTTATTCTTGGTCAATATCCTACAGTTCTTATTAGAATATGACAAGTGGTATCAGAGCCTTTGGTTGCGGTTTTGGGAATTTGGCGCTGGACTGAAGTTTTGCTTTGTGGAGGTAGCTTTCAATTCTTTAGTTTGGTTCGGTGGAGGAATCACTTTGGAGTTGACTTTGGGTAGTTGTGTTTTGGTCTCGCTTGTTTGGTGAGAAGTTTCGTTGGAGTTTGTTTGATAATAAGAATGTCTATTATCAACATGAAGATTGAGAAGTTTAGCGGAAGAAACGGTTTCAGTTTGTGGCAGATCAAGATGCAAGCATTGTTGAAACAACAGGGTTTGTGGGATCCGTTGTCTGGAAAATCGAAGAAGGAAAGTATAGATGAAGAAGAATGGAGTACTTTGGAGGAGAAAACTCGCTCTTCAATCTTGCTTTGTTTGGCTGATGACGTCATCACTGAGGTTGCTGCTGAGAAGACAGCCGCGGGCTTGTGGTTGAAGC